GATGCTGTCTTGAAAAATACCCAGCCAGAAAAGGATTGGAGGAGTCCCTCAATTGGTAGAGCACCTGCCTAGCAAGTGTGAGGCATTGAGTTAAAACTCCATTACCACCAAAAAAGAATATTGAAAGCTTCAAGACAAAGCACTAATACACACATGCAAACACAAACCCATCAGAATGACAGCACATTTCCAAACAGAAACTCTAAAAACAAGAAGGGCATGGAATGATGTATTTCAAGCCCTAGAAGAAAATAACTGCTAGCCTAGATTACTGTATCCTTTATAATCAAATGAGAAATAAAAGTCTTCCATAATAAACAAAAACTAAAGGAATTTATGACACTAAGCCAGCACTGCAGAAGATATGTAAAGGAATCCTATACACAGAAGATGAAAATACAAGAAAGAATAAACTTCACTAGATAGACAAACTAGTGAGGATTAGAAAAGAATCAGACGCTACCAAAACCGCAAAATAAAAGGAATCACTCTATACCTTTCAATAATAACTCTAAATGTTAATAGTCGCAATTTTCTGATCAAAAGATACAGACTGGAGGAAAGGATTAAAGAAACAATACCTAACCATTTATTACCTACAAGAAATATACCTCACTGGCAAAGAAAAGCACAGGCTTAAAATGAAAGGATGGAAAAAAGATATTCCAAGAAAATGAAACCTGCAAGGAAGCAGAAATAACTATAACATGTAACAAAGCTGACTTCAAGTCAAAATTAGTCAGACAAAAATGATCACTTCATATTGATAAAGGGAAGAATCCATCAAGAGGCTATAATACTTGTAAACATACATGCACCAAACATTGGCACACCCAGTCCCATAAAACAAACACTACTGGATGTAAACCAGACATCAACTTCAACATAATAGTAGTGAGCAATTTCAATATTCCACTCTCATCAATAGATGAGAAATCCAGACAAAAAAATTAGCAAAGAAACTCAGAATTACATGACACTATAGATTAAGTGGATTTAACAGACATCTATAGAATATTTCACCAAACAGCCACAGAATACACATTCTTCTCAGCAGCCCACAGAACTTTCTCCAAAATGGATCATATTTTAGGGCATAACAAATACAAGTCTTAACAAATACACGAAAATCAAAATAACTTCCTGTATCTTATCAGAACACAATGGAATAAAACTAGAAATGAACAGAAAGAGAAACTACTAAAAATATACAAACACATGGAAAGTGAACAATAGACTTTTAAGTGTATCAATGGGTCATCAAAGAAATAAAGGGGGTAATCAGAAAATTTCTAGAATCAAGTGAAAATGAAAACACAACTTACCAGAACTTTGGGACACAGTAAAGCCTATACTAACAGAAAAGTTTATAGCTGTGATTGTCAACATTAAAAAATCAGAGAGATCTCAAATAAATATAATGATATACCTCAAAGTCTTAGAAAATAAGAACAAGTCAAACCCAAAAGTAGGAGATGGAAAGAAATAATAAAGATCAATGAAATTAAGTCTAAAAGAATGATACAAAGAATCAAGGAAGCAAAGAGTTGGTTCTTTGAAAATATTGACAAACCCTTAGCCAAACTAACCAAAATAGAGAAAGAAAGACCCAAACTAATAAAGAGATGAAAAAAGGGGATGTCACAACAAATATCAGTGAAATTCACTGCATATGAGAATACTATGGAATATTTTAAAAACTTATATTACAAAAAAACAGGAAAAGCTAGAAGAAATGGATATATTTCCAGACACATGGGGCCTACCAAAATCAAACCAAGCAGATATAAAATAACTTAAACATATGTATAACAAGCAATGAGACTGAGGCAGTAATAAAGAGTCTCTCAACAAAGAAAAGTCCAGGACAAAATGGATTCACTTCTGAAGTCTATCAGACACCAATGCTCCTCAAACAGAAAATAGAAAGAGAAGGAATGCTAGCAAAATCATTCTATGAGACCAGTATTAACCTGATACCAAAACCAGATAAGGACACAACAAAAAAATTACAGACCAATTTCATTGATGAACATAGATATAAAAATTCTCAATAAAAACTTGCAAACTAAACTCAATGACACATTAAAATATTTTTATAGTCTTCATAAACTATGATCAAGTTGGTTTCATTCCAGGGATTCAAGGATGATTCAACATAAATGAACCAATTAACATAATACAGCACATAAACAGAACAAAGGATAAGATCACGTGATCATCTCAATAGATGCAGAAAAAGACCTTTGACAAAATCCAACACTCTTTCGTGATAAAAGCTCTGAAGAAACTAGGAAAAGAAGAAATGTACCTCACATAAGGAAGACTACAGATGACAAACCTACAGCCAACATCACTTTAAATGAGGAAAAACTGAAAGCATTTCCTCTGAAATCAGGAACAAGACAAAGGGTATCCATTCTCTCCACTCTTGCTCAACATAAAGCTTGAATTCTTAGCCAGAGCAATAAGGCAAGAAAAAGAAATAAAGAGATACAAATAGGAAAGGAAGAAATCAAATTATCCATATTTTTAGATGATATGATTCTTCTATTCTTAAAAGACCCTAAAGATCCCACCCAAAAACTCTCAGATTTTTAGTAAAATACTAGGACAAAAAAAAACATACAAAAATCAGTATATCAATTTTTATAATATTAATTCTGCCAGTCCATGAACGTGGGAGGTCTTTCAATCTTCTAGTGTCTTTTTCAATTTCTTTCTTCGGTGTTTTATAGTTTTCACTGTAGAGATCTTATACCTCCTTAGTTAAGCTTATTCCTAGTTCCATAATTTTTGAGGTGATTATGAATGAGATTATTTCTCTGATTTCTTTATCAGCCTGTTCAGTTATTCTATATATCAATATGCCTATAGGCATAGGCAACAACTTCTGAATAGGACTCCACTGGCTTAGGCAATAGAAGCAAGAATTGACAAGTGAGATTCTGCATGCCAAAGGAGACAATTACCAGCCTGAAGAGACAGCCTACAGAATGGGAGAAAATCCTTGCCAACTACTCATTGGACAAGGGATTGATATCTGAAAATACATAAAGAGCTCAAAAATTAAATGCCAAAAAAGGAAACAATCCAATTAATACATGTTCAAATGAACTGAACAGACAGATCTCAAAAGAAGTACAAATGGCCAGTAAATACATGACGAGATGTTCAGCATCTTTAGCCATGAAGGAAATGCAAATCAAGAAAACAAACAACAAATGCTGAAAGGACATGGGGCAAAAGGAACCCTTTATACAGTGTTGGTGGGAATCTAAATTAGTGTAGCTGTTATGTAAATCAGTGTGGAGGCTCTTCAAAAAACTAAAACTAGAACTATCATATGATCCTGCTATACCACTTCTGGGCATCTATCCAAAGGAATGTAAGTCAGCATACAGCAGTGATACCTGTATACCCATGTTTATTGCAACACTATTCACAACGGCAGCTACAGGATCATCCTAGGAGTTATCAACCAATGACTGGATAAAGAAAATATTATATGTATATACACAGATTATTATTCAGCCAGAAAGAATGAAATTATGTCATCTGCAGGAAAATGAACGGAACTGGAAACCATAATATTAAGCAAAATAAGCCAGACTCAGAAACACAAATACCATGTTTTCTCTCACATGCAAAATCTAAACCTAAAAAAAAAAGAAAAAGAAAAAAGACGACACGAATTTAAACAGGCGAAATCAGAGGGAGATGGGGAGTGAATACAATCGAGTGTGCAAATAAAATAATGAAGGGCTTTCGGAGTGGCTCAAGTGGTAGAACACCTGCCCAACAAGCATGAGGCCCGAGTTCAAATTCCAGTTCTGCCAGAAAAAAAAAGAAAAGAATGAAAGCCATTAAAACTTGTAAAAAAAAAAAAAAAAAGTGGGGGAAGGCGGTAAGGGAGAGTAGATGAGGAGATAAGTGAGGAGATAAGAAAGAATAATAGGGTGAAAATGATCAAAGTGCATTATATGCATGTATGGAAATGTCATGATGAAACTCCATTGTACAATTAATAATTGCTAAAGAAGGGAGTCTTATCGAAGACCTGCTAAGTGAGAATTTCTGAGCACAGGTCCTAGGAATCCACTCTTCAATATGCTCTCTGTGACACTAAAGTGCACTAAAGCATGAGAACCTAAAGGTAGAGAGGGCTTGCCACCATTAGTAATGGACCCAAACCACAGGGCTCACAGAGCTAGCCTCTCACCCATGGGGTTGGGGGTCCTGACTAGAGCCTGTAGAAGCCAAACCCTGAGACCTAAGAGTGTGACCATGCAGGTGGGGAGCCACAGTCCACTCCTGGAGGGCCCCTCCATCTGGTTACCATCTGATGCCCTTGCAGATACCTGACGGGGATCACAGAATGCCCCACAAGAGGGCTCTGGAGAAGCAACCTGAACGCTGAAGGCATCACCTGGCTTGGTTTACAGCCCTTACTTTAATCCTACCACCATACGTTACCCTCTGCCAGTCCCCAATTCTGATCCTTTCCTTGCCCATCCCAGAACCAAACCTTCTTGGGGACCATCAGCCACAACCTCCCTGTTTCCCCAGCTCCTATTGTCTGCCTGCCTAGGGAACTGCATCCCAAAGCAGGTGTCCTGACCCTGCATTCTGGGGCAATCCCAGGAGCAGGAAGGCAGGAAGTTTTCAGCCTTCTTTCATGACAGAGGGATTCAACAGACACTCTCCTCATCCCCCACCTTTTGCATAATCCCATCCCTCCCCCTCCCTTGACATCCAGGCCCTTAGAGTGCCTTCTGCCCCCTATCCTCTCTCTTGCCAGCTCTGAACACTTCCAGGTTGTGACTTGGATCAGAGCTCCTCTGAGTTTTCCTCTGAGTACTCCCAGGTAAGACCATGGATGCAGTGTCTGTCTAGCTGTCTAGCTGCAGAAGGACCCGGAGTCAATCCAGGTGGGATCGATCGCTTGCCCGGCCTAGGCTTCCTAGTTGCCATCCTCCCCCATGGCATCTCCAACTCACCCGTCCTCTAGTCCTGTTCTTTCGCTTGGGAATATCCTCTTCTAAATCCTCTTCTTCATTCACTTCTTCTACATTCTCATCATTTTCCAAAACCCTCTGAAATGACAAGAAAATCAATAGGAGAGTTGAGAAATCAAACGCAAACGAGAAAACCAGCAGGGGAAAAAAAAAAAAAAGGAAACCAGCAGGGGACAATTACTGTTTCATTGTTTTTAGCAAAGTGAGGGTGCCCACTGCTTGGGAAGTTGGGCCTCCAAAATGCTGACCAGGAGTTTGAGGTTTGGGTGGCACCAATGCTCTTCCAAGCATGTAGGCCTCTTCCAGCCAAGGTCAGAACACTGACCTTTTTTAACTCTTTTTGCCCAAAAAGAGTTTTCTAATGAGAGCAAACTCTAGCAGGGATGTTTTCTAGGCAGGGCCAAGTCACTGGATCAAAACTTTCTTTAATGTAATTTTTTCTTTTTCCTAAAGGGAAATATGAAAATATGTTTCTCCTTTCCCTTCCATTCTGGAATTCTGCCCTCTTTGATGAAAGCAAGTAAATTTCTGTTTGTCTGATGCAAATGTACCATTCACCATTCATAATAATCCATTGTCAAGAGTGGCTCACACAGGTAATCCTCGTTACTTGAGAGGCTGAGAATGGCGGAGAAATCATAGCTCAAGGCCAGCTCAGGCAAATAATTCATGAGACCCTCACCCACCTCCAAAATAACCAGAGCAAAAATAGACTTGAGGTATGACTCAAGTAGCAGAATACCTGCTTTGCAAGTGCAATGCCCTGAATTCAAACCCCAGCCCCACCAAAATAATAGTAACAATCTATTATTTTTTAAGAAAAACAGATTCTCATTACAGTCCATGACTTGTAATGGGGCTTAACAATCATAAATTCAAATTATCCTTTTCCAGCAGCCCTGAGAATCATGTGGCAGCATGGAATCCAATTTCCATTTTATGGGTGAAGAAATTGAGGCTAAAAACAGTTTTTCAAGTTCAAGATCATACAGCAAAGCCATGACCAGAGCAAAGTCAGGTTCATGAACTCAGGTTCCCATACATCTCTCAGCCCCATTACTAAGAAACCCAAGGGACCTCATGGCAAACTCTTTGTGCAGGGCCTGAGAATTTCACTCTTTACAGGAGGAGAAGAGGAGTAGGGTGTGCTCCTCTAGATTTAATGGCAGGATGAAAGGTCATGGCAGAGGACCCAGCCTCACCACAAGAGGAAGATAAGAAGGAATGGACTTGGGAGGAGTCGATGAAGTCCATGTCTGGGCCCCTACACAGGGGGTCTTTATGACCTTGGGTGTGTCACCACCTCTTCATGCTTCAGTTTCCCCAGTTACACAATAGAAATTTATTCAATCTACAAGCATTCATCCACTCTTGACTACATATCAGCACTATACGAAATGGCCCCAGTCCTGGCTCCAAGTAGACCTTAGAGGCCAGTGAAGGAAGGACACATTTAAACAACATACATAACCACATAATTCCAACTGTTATAAAAACAGTGAAAGTCAAGTCCAAAGTGCTACAAGAGGGTATTCAAAGGAAATTTTACCTAACCTGAGTGTTGAGGACAAGAAACAGGGAGGAGAGATATGGAGAATGACCAAGAGAATGGCAAAGAGCAAAATCCCTGGGGAAAGGAGAGGTCTTTGTCTTACCCAGGAGCAGAAAGTTGGTGTGACCAGAGCTCAGCAGCTCAGGGAGAGACGGCAAAGATGAAGCTAAAAAGGTGGACAGGAACCATATTCCAGGACCTTGTGGTGATGGTATAACAGTCACACCGACTATGACAAGGCTTAAAAAGGAACACACATTGCACAGACATCTGATGTCACCATTACTGCCCAAGTGACCTCCTGGACAATGCTCTGGACTGTCCTCAAGGCAGGAAGCCCAGGAGAGAATTACTGCCTTCCTGCCTCAGTGCTCTGCTCCCACTGCAACAGTCAGATAACCAATTCTTCTAAAGAACTTGAAATGGTCCTGATGACTTCTTCTCTGCCTTCTCCACTAGTTTTATTAATGAAACCACCAGCTGATTTACGTATGAAACGCTGGGCCAGCCTTAGCCAACAAAGAGAAATGGTTTTGCCTTCTGGACAAATAGTCTTTTCCCCTAGCCCACAGCAAGAAAATACTGGCCCAGGTCCAGAGCAAACCTCTTGGCTTCCTGACCTGCAGGAACCAAGAGAGACAATGACAGGTCAAATGCTCTGCGACCTTCAGCGAAAAAATGTGGTGTAAGTTTAAGGTATAGTTATTAGGACTGTTGCTGCTGACCATACAGCTATCTTGTACTTTCTGGGTCTCCCAAGTCATTTAATCACGGTAAGTTCCAAGTGCCTGGAATTTAAAGGTCACTGTATCTGGCATCTCCGTACAGTTCTGACTCCACTATCATTTTTCATGATAATAGTGTTTATTACCCACAACATGGACTTGGATTGGCAGGTGAAAGATGGGTGAAGGCAGCTGAGCTGGTACCCCAAGGACCACATGGCCTCACGGTCCATGAGTGAACTGACTTCTCTCCCTGATGTCCTACCCCTCCCTCTTCTCATCAGCTCCCTCTGATTCAAGAACCCCCCAGTTTACACCCAGGCCTCAGATGTGCTGACAGCTGTCCCTGACCCTAGAAGCCTCTCCACACAACATGCAACTTGGGAGGAGCCAGGAGTTCCTAACATACAAAGCTCATTCCAGGGCTCAGGAAACAGAGGGGGAGTTAGTGTTAGGTGTGAAAGGTGGGGCAGGGGCCAAAGAAGAATCAGCTGATCTCCCGTAACCTGCTGGCAGTCACTGTCCAAGGACATCACCTGGGAAATAAACACATTCAAAATAACTTCACCCCCCCCAGGTTACTCTAAATAGTCTTTACAGTGATGAAAGCAGTAGCTTGTGCTTCTGTTTAAAACAAAAGAGAGACAGAGCAAATTCCCTTTTAAAGAGTCCTTCATCTCCAGCCAGGAATACTACCAATCTTCTAACCTACGTCTTTCCTTCCACTGCGGGCCCTGCATCCAGTCCCCTCTCCATGCAGGCCCAGAGGGAAATTCATGAAATATAAATTCAGTGCCTGGTTTAAAATCCTCCCATTGGCTTCCTTTTTCATTTTACATGAAGCCAAAAGCCACTTCTATGTCCCATGAGGTCTGAGTTCTGAGGTCTGGCTCTCCCCGGGCTCTTCTCTCCCTAGTACCATGCATTAGCCATACCAACCTTCTCTCTGTTCTCTCAATCTAACCAGGCCTGACCTACCTCAGCTGCACACTGAGTACTTCCTACACACTCTTCCTCTACTAGAAAGCTTTCCCCAGGATTCTCTCTGCCGCCTCTTCTCAGTACAGGATTGAGGTCAAACCCTTTCTCTCTCTTATGACACTGCCTCACCTTCTTATGGAAATTATACAAAAATGAAATTATTTTATTTGTTTTACTTTTCTGTCTAAGATGTCACACAAGAATATAAATAGAAAGGGCAGGTCTTTCTTGGTCTCTCTGTGCCCCAGCACCTAACACAGTGCCTGCTCAGAGAAGGATCTCATTAAATTTTGTTCAAATCAATGAATGAATGGGTGGATGGGTGAGTGGATGGATGGATGGATGGATGAATGGATGGATAAATGAAGAAGAAAGAAAAATGATAGCTCACTTACTACATATGTACTTTAACAGTGTAAAGTTAACAAAATCACATAAACTTGCTTAGCTCATGGTCCTATTTCAGCTTCTAACACAGTAGCTAGCAGCCCCACACTCCACACGGGACAGCCATGCAGCTGACACAGGGGCTGATGGTGATGATAGTGACACAATGATGATAGCCTATATCCTGGCCCAGAGTTCCATGGGATGAACTGGACCTACCTCCAGCTTTACAGGAAAAAGGAAACATACCACTACATATCCAGACTATGGGTAGCAGTTCTGTCTTAGAGTCGACTCTGTCAAGTACACTAACTAAACAAAAAATACTCACAGGTAATATAGAGATGACAAACCTTATCTTCAAACCCTGAAAGTCCAAAACTGAGGGTTAATGTGTGACTAGCAACACGCAACACACACACACACACACACACACACACACACACACCCCAAACACCAATGCAGGAGAAAGCAGCAGGTGTCCTAAACATCAAAGGCAAATAAGTACCCCTCTGGCTGTGGGGAGACCAGGAAGGGCTTGGTAGGGAAGGTGGTACTGAGGCTGACCTACACTCAGAGTGGAATCTGTGCATATGGAAATGGAAGAAAAGGCAGGCCAGGTACAGGACACAACCTAAACAGAGGAAAGGCGGCCTGGGATCAAAGGAAGAAAAGGGGTCCTGAAAAAGAAGCCAGGGACTAGCCACCAAGCAGAGAAGGGAGACCCAGGAAGTTCATGTGTGTCGTTCTGGATTTTATTTAGTGGGAAACAAAAGGTATATTTTTTTTAGCAACACAGTGGCCTAAGCAGGGCTGTTCTTTAGGACACAAGGTAGCAAAGGAGGACATGTGGGAGAGCAGAAGAATGAGGAGAGAACAACTCATCAGAACCTGTCCACTCATCACTCACCTAACAAATATTTACTATGTTAGGGTGCTTGAGCCACATGAGTGAGCCCTTGGGGGACTCTATATTCTATCGGAAGAAACAATAACACAACACAACACAACACAATAACAATAACACAAAACAGCTGGGAATGGTGGCTTATGCCTGTAATCCCAGCTACAGAGAGAGGCAGAGATCAGGAGGATCATAGTTAAAAACCAGTCTTGAAAATAAAACAAAAAAAAGAAAAAGGGCGGGGGGAGAAGAAGCAAGACCCCCACCTCAATGAAAAAACATGCCTGTAATCCCTGCTATGCAAGAGGCATAAGTAGAAAGACTATTGTCCAGGGTGGCAAGGGGGAAAGAAGGTCAGACCTTAGCTAAAAAATAACAAAAGCAAAAAGAGCTGGGGGTTTGGCTCAAGTGGTAGAGCATCTATTTAGCAAGTCCCAGGTCATGCATTCAAGTCTCAGTACCACCAAAAAAAATTTTAAACATGGAGGAAAAAAAAAAAGACCCTAGTATCACACACACACACACACCACAAATAAATAAAATGCAAAGTACATTAGATGGTGATAAGAACACTAGAAAAGCAGAGTGCAGAACTGGGCTGGGCCAGGTGGAGCACAGTATTTGGCTTTCAACACGGCGCTCAGGGTGAGCCTCTCACAGAAGGGACAAGAACAAACCCCTGAAGAAGGCGAGGGTGAGAGCCCAATGGATGTGGGAGAAGGACTTCCCAGGCAGAGCAAATGGCAGGGCAGAAGCCCAAAGGAAGGGACCATGTCCCACCAGAGAGAGCTGGAAGGACCTTGCTTTCACTCCATACAACAACGGCCATCGCAGGGCTTTGAAGCCAAGAATGGCAGGAGACAACTTAACCTTTAATTTAAAAAGCACCCTTCTTGTACTCCATCCAGACAACAGAATAATATTTAGCACTAAAAGGAAAAGAAAAGACATGGAGGAAGCTTTGTGCAAATCTGAAAAGGCTACCTATGTGATTCCAACTGTATGACATCCTGGAAAAAGCAAACCTACAGCGGCAATGAACAGACCAGTCATTGCCATGGATAAGAATGGCGAACAATGAGGAGCTGAGCACAGCAGGTTTAGGGCAGTGAAACTAATCTGCATAATACTATAAAGGACATATTAGTACGTACCACACCACGAGTGCATTCTGCGTGAGAATTATGTGTCCATGTAGTTCACTGATCATAACAAAAGTGGCAGGGAATGTTGATAATGGGGGAGACTGTATGTATGGGGGAATAGGGCAGATGGGAACCCCTGTACCTTCCTCTCAGCTTTGCTGTGAACCTAAAATTACTATTTTATAAAATCATTGTTTTAATGGCTCTTAGATGTTGGCAGGGAGACCACTGAGAAGGCAATTGTAGGGCTGGAGGTGTGGTTCGAGTGGTACAGTGCTTGTCTAGCAAGAGTGAGGCCCTGAGTTCAAACCCCAGTACCACCAAAGAGAGATGCAGAAAGAAAAGGCAACTACAGTGTCTGGACCTCACAGTAGCAGGGAAATGGGGAGAAGAGGCGGAGCCCTGCATTTACATTGAGGCACAGTTGACAGGGTTCCTTGATGTGTTAGGGTGACAGATGTAAGAGGAAGACAAGAGTCTGAGATGACTCCAAAGTCTGCTGGACGATAAAGGTTAGCACTAACAAGGACATCCCCTAGGATTGCAACTGTGGAACGGAGAGGAGGGAACACATACAATGCAGGTGGTGGCAACCAAATGGAAAAGACCTAGCAGTTCATCTTAACACAACAATGGCAGAAGAAGGACAGGCTCACTGATTCGCTCAAAGTCTTGATGCCCACCTCTGTGTGGGCAAGGATACTATAGTGAACCCTGACTCTACAGAACACACAGGCTGCTGGCACTTACCAAGCAAACCAAAAACGTATTCTTGTTCTTATTAATTTAAGTAGCCTTTTAATAAGTTCATGAATTTAACTAAATGTTAAATTGAATATAAAGCTAAGAAATACATAATGTATATGACACAAAGTATAAAATTTTAATATGCAATACAAATTTAATATAATTTACTTATTTAATCATATTTCATTGTTAAGGCTGTTGTTTTATATTAGTGTTAATTAACATTATTGCCTCCCACATAGGAATAGGTACTGGAGACTTGAGGCGAGTGTGCATAAGGAATGGTAGGGGCCCACCATTATAGTTCCAAGTTGGAGGGCTTTAGTGCAAATGGGGGGAGGCACAGAGAGACAGAAACACCATCCCCGCCTGGAGTGGGACAACTAGGCTGGCCTTGCAATCTAGTCTGGGAAAGGCAAGCTGGAGCCCAGGTTGCGGTCTAAGGAACCTCAGCAGGGCTGAGGCAGGGACTCAAGCTTTGAGCCTAGATGATGGACTGCTCATTCCACAGTAGCAAGGACACGGTCAGTCTGTTCTGTTCCCAGGACCTAGCACAGTACCTGGTATGCAGCAGGCTCAGTAAACACATTTTGAATGAAAATACAGGGAAGTTGGAGAGAGGACCCAATTGGAGGGAGCAATGACCCTGGCAGTGGTGCTACAGGCTGTCTGAGAGCAGCCCTGGCCCTGAGCAGCAATGCAGAGCCCAGCAGCAATGCTCCATGCCACAGGAGCACCCAGCAGGTGCAGGAGTACCTGTGTCTCCTGGATGCTCTCCTCCTCTCTGGCGTCCACCTTCTTCTCTACCCCCTCACCACGAAGCAAGGCTTCCAGCGTGGTGCTCTCTGAGGTGAACCCGTCTTTCTTCAGGGGCAGTTCCACTTCTGAAAAACAAACCCAGAAAGGCAAGTCAGGCCAATAGAAGCAGTGGGGCAGGAAGGATGACTTTAGGATATGCGGGGACCGGAGCTCCTCGGTAAGACTCAAAGGTTCTGTACTTCCTCCTGGAGTTGAATGCAGCTCTTCCATGTCCAATTCACAAGCCCAGAGACAGAACCGCACCCTGCCTGTGCCCTCAGTGAAAACTGAGGTGGAGTAGAAAGGGTGCTGGGTGGATGTGGGATCAATCAGCCTTGCTTCTGCCACTCTCTGGCGACTCTGGGTGAGCAAGGAGCCTGACTCTCCATCCACAAAGGAGCACTACAATGCCTGAGCCACAGAGCTTTCTGTGAGGCAGAGCAATATTCATTTTCATGTCACTTCCAAGCAGTGTATCACCCACCTTTGCCTCAATTGTTCTTATCTTCATGACCTCCACTTGGCCTTAATGGCCACCCAGCTCTGATTTGCTCCATGCAAAGTTACGTTAGCCTCAGAGCGGCTCTTCTCACCACCTCACTGGGAAGTGGAAAGCTCAAAGCCAAGGGAAAAGAAGTGAAGGGAAAATAAATGTCCACCAGCCCCAGGGCAGTAGTGTGCGTGTGCAGTGTCCAGAGGAAAGATGAGCAGGATAGGAGCTGCAGCGCCCCCACACCAGGGCAGATCAGTGAAGTGGGAGCTGCAGAGCACTTTTTCCTAAATACATCAGGAGTTTGATCGGCTATCTGAGGCATAAGGTCACTGATTACTATAATTCAGATGATGAATATCCCCCCAGGTCAATGTGTTAAAAGTTTGGTCCTCAGGATGGCACTATTGGGAGTAATAGAACCTTAAAGAGATAGAGCTTAGTGGGAGGTCCTTAGGTCATTGGGGGCATGGCCTTGAAGGGGACGGTACAACCTCTGTCTCTTCCTCTTCTTCCTCTTTTGCTTCCTGATCATGAGGTGAGCACATACTCCCCACCATGCCATCTGGTACCCACACCAAAAGCCCAAAGCAATGGGTCTGCCTAATCACAGACTGGAAGCCCCAAAACTGTGAGCCAAAGTGAACCTTTTCTCTTTCTAAGTTAATTGTATCGAGTATTTCATTATAGTGATGGAAGGCTGAATAACACACTGACCAGCTGGGCAAACGAAGTAGCCTTAGCCAACCCTGCTCCTGAGAGAGATCACAGTGAGTAGCTGAACCCCTTCCTCAAGATGTCTCCCAAATCCCCAACCTAACAGAGAGTTTTTTAAAAAATAAGAACAGAACTCTCAACTACCATATACATACCCACAATTAGATGTGTGGTCCCTATTCTCTCTCAGGTGAGAGAAGGGCCAAGAACATGACACAGTGGTGTCCCAGAAGACAGTCAAGGGAAACAAATGGCCACTTATGTGGGAGAATTGAAAAATTAGGGTAGGGACTATTTACAGAGGTGTGGGCAAGATAAAAGTAATCAAGAATGAATGATGAGGCACACCAGGGAAGCCATTCCAGAGGGAGTGTTTGCAAGTACCCAGAGAGAGTGCCGGAGCAGGGCCCCCAACAGGAGCTATGGCTTGGAGCACAGGAGCCCAGAGGCCAGGGAACCAAGGGAACCAACACATCACCCAATCACTTATCTTCTCCCATCCTCCACCTTTTGACCCTGCCCTCTCCCATTGGCCAACCTCAACCAGGAACCGGGTTGATGCAACCCACCAAGGTCAATTTCCTGAGGCAGCAGAAAGGACAAACAGTGGATCTAGAAAGGCAAATGGTATTACAAAGCACCATCATGCTCTGCTTCAAAAGCTTTCTTCTGATGCCAAAAATATTCTACCTGACCCTTCCATCTCCTCCACCTGAAACAGTACAGACTGGCCAATCCATGAGGAAGGCACGCTTGGGCATCCCATTAAAACTGAAGAAATGCACCCATGGGTAACCAGCCCCCAGGAAAAGAAGGAAGGAAGAAGAAATAGTACCTGAAGGCTCTTAAGAGACAAGGCTTTGGGATTTTTTTTTCCACCTAAATCAAGAACCATGACCACTAAATGAACCATCTCCAAAACATACCCATCCATTTATTCAATAAATATTTGCTAAGCACCTGCCGTGTGGCAACCACTGTGTCAGGAGTAGGGACACAGGAGGTGACCAAATAAAAATAGGCCCTGCCTTGGGGCAGTTTACAGTCTAAAGAGACAGACATAAAATGCTAAATGCAAAATAAAGATAACAATTATGAACTGTCACAAGTGCTATGGAGGAAAACAACAGACTTAAATGTGAAAAAACAAAGGTGGGGGGCTACTTTAGATCAGGGAATCAGGGAAAGCCTGTGCTGTGAAGTTACATTTAAAACGAGTGTCAGAAAAATAGTCAACTGTCAGATTTAATGAGTTTGGAGCATGCAGCTCCACAGCCTGCTCTGATGACATATTATTATTCTCCCAAGTCAGAAAAGTCTTCCAAATGTCTAACCTCAAACAACTCAAGTGTGTTGCCCCATGTCCTATCTCCAGTCAAAAGACAACAGCTGGCCACCATCCCCCAAACTTACACCAATCATATGTGTTTATGTGAAATTCATTTTTCAATATTCTTAGCCTTCACAACACTAAATAAATCCTGTTTCTAGAACTGCACAGCACGTTAGGGCTGGAAGGGGTTTTATAGATCAATCAATTTACTAATGTCATTTTATAAATGAGTCACCCTAGACTCAGAGAAGTTGAGTAACTTCACCAAAATCCACAGAGCAAGACAAAAACACAATCGAACGATCTTTCAAGACTCCATTCATTGTAATCATATTGGTAGATGACTAGCCCAGACTGACTTCGACTGGGCTTTGATACACTTATGTACAGGCAGAGGACCTGACACATGGGAAACACACGAAATGTGACAACTGCCATTGCTATGTGTCACTTAATCCCTACCATACCCAAGAACACAGTTATCCCATTTTTTGATATGGATAGTGCAGCTTAGGGAGGGTTAGGACCTGCTTAACATCACACAGCAGGTGAAGGGCAAAGTCTGATCTTAAACTCAATCTGTCTCCAGAAACCCCTGGGTAACCAGGCTGTAAGGGCACCACCTGCCTCTCTTTGGTCCTCCCTTGAAAGATCATTTCCAAGCCTTTGTGTATTTCCATTGCATTCCCTGACTCTCTCCATAGTTATCAAATTTTGGCATGAAAGGCACATCTCCGCTGAGGCTAAGGGTGATTTGCAGCATGGTGCTGGCTCTGCTCTGTGTGAACATCTCACATGGTGTTCACCCTCTCGCAACGGTATTGACACTATACAGAATTTTCCATCAGCTGTGAACCTCCACTTCTTCCTCCTCCTCCCCGCTGCCAAATATTCCTTCATGCTGTGTTCCCCTTCACTCAGTCTATTCTCTTGGTCCTCTTTATCCAGACATCACCAGGTACACACAATGTAAGAACCAATAGGGAAAATGGAACCAAAATTTAAAAAAAAAAACTGCAACGGGCTCTCCTGCATACAGAGAGCTTAAAGAATCTCCAGTGCTGCCTAGGATCCAATCCCTTCACGCTGAAAGCAAAGCACAAAAAGACAGAAAAGCTTTCCCAGGGTCACAGAGAAATCTGGTACCATCATTCCTCCCTAATTGCCAAAATATTTAATTGGCCCAGATAGGTTCTGCTTTCAGACAGCCCTGGAAACAAACTCTGGCCTATTAGCAGGTGGACACAGATTAGTTACTTAACCTAGGTCTCTGTTTCCTTATAGGATGAATGGGGTTGGCCACCATATCTATTTCAGAGTTTTGGTGTGAGACTCAAACAAGATAATACATAACATAAAGAAACTCCAGAAGGACCTACCAAAAGAACTATTGTGACAAACAGGGTGGAAAGTAAAGTTTATCAATTTTTATTATATTATTATATTCAAAACTTGGATTCAAAATAAGATCATACACGCCAAGAAGCCGGCACATTGTAAGTGCCCTGCAAATGCTGGAGGTTATTGTCAAAGTTTGACTTGTTCTGATTTTAATGTTACAGCTGTACAGTCCATGTGAGCCACTTCTTTCACTTTAAACTTTCTAGTAGCCGCATTTTAAAAAGTAAAGAGGGGCTGGCAGACTGACTCAAGTAGTAGAGCACCTACCTAGCAAGCACGAGGCCCTGAGTTCAAACCCCAATACAACCAAAAAGAAAAAGCAAAGAGAAGCAGGTGCAACTAATTTTAATAATATATTTTATTCAACCTAACAATTCTAAAACATTACCATTTCAACATGAAATCAATATAAGGAAAATACTGACGTGATCGCTTACATTCTTTTCTTTACAATAAGACCCCAAAGTCTGGTGTATACATTCCACTTACAGCAGGTCTCAGCTCAGACAAGTCACATTTCCAGTGACTGAACCACATGTGGCTGGCGGCTGCCATATTGGACAGTGCAGGTTTATTACACTACATTATAGTCTTGCTTCCAAAACATGGATCAAACTGAAGTATAGTTCCTAATGTTTCCTACTTAACACCCAGGGAGTGCAATTCCAGGAACAGCATTCTAGCTGCCCACAGGCAAGGCCTGGCTGACCAGCAGTATGAGTAAAGCGTGGATGACCAACCTGGCAGAGCGTGCTTTGTCGGCCTCCTAACCATTGTAGGTCCCAGAGTGAAGGAAGAAAACGGGTGACAGCTCTAAACTCCAGCACAACGGACATCCTAGACATGCTTCTGATGCAACCTAAGGGATTTCGTTGATTCAATTTTATACTAAAATGGCTCATCTGGACACAGGATTTAGTAATTCCTTAAAAGTGTACTCACGTTGTACCTCACACATATTTGGAGATCACATAACCCAACAGGAGCCATCAAAGATTTAACATTAAAAGAAAATGGTCCAAAACACACACACACATAATTCATCTTTAAATTAGCCTGATTTTATACACATGGATATAAACCTACGGATCGTTACTCTCTCCAGAGTGGCAGCAGCTGTCACCCAAGCCAGCCGCCTCCCTGGG